TGATGTAAAAGAATCCTTATTGTCTCAGTGTAATGATTTACTGACTTTATTAATAGAGCAAATGAAATGGAATATAATTTGGTTTGCAAAGTTAAAAAAAGAAAAGTGAGTACACAATCCTGTAGCTTGATCATGTTTTTAAGGTAACCACTGTGACACTAAGGTGGATTCTAAGAGTGCGTTAAGGCTTTATTTTTTTTTAGTTCATATGTGTTCAAAATGAAGATGTTTTTGAGAGAAGTGGCAACAAAGGCAAATATAAAATGTGACTTCTGCTCAGTGCTTCCTTCTACAGTGCCCTGTAAGGAAACCACCATATTTCTAACATACGGTAGCATGGATGCCAGGCTTGCTGTAGTACTGATTCATTTTGTGCCTTTTGTATGCTTTCTTAATAACTTCTGCTTTATAGATATTACACAAATATATTTAGGTCAAAGCACTGCTTAGATCTGCTCTTGTGCATCCTGGATTTTGTAACTATTTTTTTTGGTAGATGTTAAAATCCCCCAAGCAACTCAAAAGGTGAAAGAGAGGTATGTACACAAGGAAACATGCCATTAATTGGACATAATAGTTATTAGATCTTTATATTTGAACTTCAGGTGTGGCTCCTTTTTCTTCCTAAAGGGTAATTTGTCTGCTCGTATGTATGAAAGATTCATGTTATAAATGATTTAAATCCTATTTAAAAAAAAAAATGTGGACCGTATAAGCTTGGTTTTGTAACTGACACTTTTTTTTTAAAGAAAAAAAATTTCTCATTTTTAGGAATAGCTGATGTTTTTCTGTAACAAAACTAAAATGATGCTGTCAGAGCAGTCACTGACCTCCTACCAAGTATCATCAGGAAAACATGTACTTTTATTGCCTGCAAGAATTAACTTTACAGTGGATCCACTCATGTTCTAGAGGTTAGTCTGTTAAGTAACTAGGAGCATTTGAGCAGTTTGTGCTCTCATCACAAGTAACAATCAGAAGTGTGGAATCTAGCACATGGAGCATCCTCCCAGAACTCTGTCTTTCACACACCAAAGAACAAGCCCCGCGCTCACCAGAAGCAGCCACTGCAAAGCTCTGTGAGGCATGCAGGCCCACGCTCCTGGAAGAGCAGACCTCTTTCAGCTTTGATGGGACGACCATCAGGGCTACAAAGATGCTGTAGCCATCCTTTTAAGGAAAAATTTGAATAATTTTATGCTTGTAATTTATTGAAGATTTTTTTCTGTCTGCATGGTTGGTTGTTTATGCATGCTGAGAACATTCCACTTGTGCTCTGATAAATGTTTTGGTTTGTTCTGATGCTGTGAAGAATTCCCTGATGCCATTACCACCATTTCTTTTCCAAAGTAACTTGGGAGAGGCAAACATAAAGATAGCTCTTTCTGAAAAGATCCCATCAGCAAGAGATTCCAGAACAAGATTCACAAGTGTCATGTTATTTTTCTGGTAGTTAGGTGTTCGGTATATTTTACAGCCTTATTCATAAGTAGGTTGTTCCAGTAGCTGTCTTGGACTTGCAAGTAGATATTTTCCTCTTCAAGTAGCCAATGTACACTCTGAACTGTAATGTAGAAACCTCCATGTACTTATTTTTTTTTGTGCACCCCTGTAGAAAGCCTATGCAACCTTTTTCTTTCTTAAATTAGAAATGTTCAGAAAGAATATTTATACCTTTATTATTTAAAAGATGCTCTGGCAGTCTCTTCTGATTTGCCTTCCTTTCAGAATTTGTGAATTTAACATGACAATGCTCACGAATAAAAGGATTTGTTTCATTTTAGTGGTGGGATGCCCTTTCTCTTTCCATTGAGGCATTATTGAACTGGTCTCAGGTACCGAGCTACCCGGGAGCAGGGTACAACCCTCGGGGCACTTGTGAGCTCCTGGTGTGGCTCTGTCAGAAGTGACTTGTCAGCTGAGTCCTGGTTTGTTGTGGGGTTCTCCGCTCTCTGCGTGCAGCCAGACATCATACAGGTGAGTTTCTGTTTAAACCGGGCAGCTCTGCTCGGGCAAAACAGGGCTGGGCAGCACCACAGCTTTAGGAAAGGCTGGGGAACATATGCCTCATTATCACAATAAAAAGAAAATGGGTTAAAGTGTTTCCATGTTTCTGAAAATCACATTTCATGTAATCTTTTTTTGTTACTAGCAGAGATTCTTGATTATATACCTCTTAAAATAAAACTCTAAATTTCTGCAGCGTTGGACACTTGCATGGGGAGGAAGAATGTGCTCAGAGAGTTCCTGGGTGCCTCCTCAACATTTTTCAAGTGTTAGATAATACAGTTCTGGTTAGTTTTAAACATTCATCCAGTGTTGGAAACTGTCGTGCCAGTAGACTTGTTTTTATGCAGAACAGAGAACACCCCTGGCTGTAAGTAGGACACACTAGCCAGTCGTGTTCCTTGTTTTCTGTCATGTTGCTTCAAGGCCATGTCTTGGAGCAATTTATACATTTGGTTTAAAGACATTACTGAGTTTTAGTGGTGGCTAAATACAATTTATTTTAATTTTTTACTCATAGTGGGATTGATACACACAGAGGGCAGAGTCAGAGCATTTAACTGTTTTGTTTTTTTTCAAGAGTAAATCTATCAAGATATTTAACTAATGACTTTTCTCCCCCCTCTGTTAAGGAGTTTCTTCCACAAGTCAAAATATTTATTCTGGGATTACCAACAGTACTGTCTGCCCTCACTGCTTTCAACAGTACTGATCAAGTGGTACAGAACTTACTCAATACAGGCTTCTCCACACTTCCAGTGTCAGTTCCTTAGCACCTGAAGACTACTGTGAAACTGCCAGAGAAGTTTTCAAAGTTTGACCTAGTAGAACAACAAAAGGATGGCTGTAGCTAAGGAAATAAACTAGTCTGGAAGGAATGTTTGATAACGATCCAAGACGCTAGTATTCTTTGCTGGTACAAGTGTGGTTCAGTTCTCAGAGAGAAGAGGTACTAGTTAGCTTAGCTGAGTAATTCTGGGATGCAGATGGAGAACCAAGGTAACCTCCCTGGTGTGCAGGTTCCCCAGGAACCAAGGGAGGTGATACAACACCTGCAAGTTCTACTTTCCAACTTATTTTTTTCCAAGTGGCCGCCTTAGTGAATCCAACTTTTCATTTTAAATGCAAACCCTTGGCAGAAGCCTTGAAGTCAAGTTAGATGTAAGAAAGCTCAGGTAAGTGGTAGGCAACTTTAACCCAGGCTGGCTAAGATTCCTGTAGCTAGCTTATTTTTCTTTCACATAGCTTTAAAAATGCTGTAACTGGACAAGATTCACTTTATTCTGCCCTGTTAAAGAGAATGCTGTCAGCTAAGATGGAAAACAAGCTGGCAGAAGACTGTAAAGATACATAAAGATGGGAGGGCAACTTTCTACTGAGTTACTGTCAAATCACAGACTGAGCAGCAGCACCTGTTCTGCTGCCATTCAGCTGTTGTTCCAAATGTTAAATCACTTATTTTTTACCAGTGGTGAGGGAGCAGGATGCAGATTTGCTTGGAAGAAGCAAGATACTACAAATCGTGCATCGCGCAATCAATCACCACTTCTGCTCGGGTGTAAGCAGCTGCAACAGCTTGAGCTTCTCCAGGTGCCAGGAGGAGTCCCTGCAACATGTCTGCTTGGGAAGGATGGCTCCTGTTCTCTGAAAAATACTACAGTCGCCTTAATTTCATCACAACAGAGGCTCTATCTTTGGCTTAATAAATTTAAATTGGAAGGATGTTAAGTTGCTGCTGTGGCTTCATTACAGCAACTTCATGAGGTCAGCAGATTTGGAGTAGAGAGTCTTAATGGAGCACTTAATTTAGTGCTAGGATTATAAGCAACATGTTACCGAGTTAATCACAACAAAACTGACACAATGCCCTTAACACAAAACTTGAATTAACTTTATTTTCCCCTACAGTCAACAACTGGTCTGCATTGAGCTTTAAAGCAACAAAATAAAATGAAATCTCCAAATGACGGGGCCAGAAATCCAGATTTAATTACCTTTGTGAAAATGTTGCAGCTGCATTATTGGTCTGTATAAACCATCAGAGTCAAAAATGAGTTCATAAATCAAAAAAAATATTCTACACCTTGGGAAAGAAGTCAGCAGTAACATTCTCACAGAACACTGTAAATTTACATTTTCTTCATGAAAGGTACATACTATTCTGCATTGCACATCAAATTATTGATGCAAATTTTGTTTCTATAAAAAGTTACAACCTGTGGCAGGAAAACAAACTGCAAAACCCTTCCATTTTAATTAAAGAAAATTTTCAAGTCTGTATAAAGTTTTCCTATATCTGGAAAGTGAATATGTTCTGTCTCCATTTATATTTTAGTGCATTTCCTCTTACAGTTTTCACCACTTTAAAATAAAAAGTATAAAAGACAAGACAAAGCAAATAGCACTATAGCAGGAATTTCTTCAATTGATTTAAGCACTCTAAATAAAAATGCAGATAAACAGGTGTCCAGAAAAACTTCCACCCTCACAAGAAAGGCAGTGAGGGGGGGAAGAGGTTTGTAAATCCTCTGACAGCCACAGAAAAGGGGTTTTGTTTACCTGTCAACCTTTTTTTTTTCCCCCTCCATTAAACAGGCTATACTTGTTTTACCAATGTAAACATTCACCTAAAATTTCTGTTCTGATGCACCAGCCACAACTGATGGTGCTCAGTTGTATGTTACTATAGCATTCATTACTGTCGTGTCAGATTTTTCAGGATACAAATTTAGCCCTTGAATCTACAGTGTACAAGATTTGCCTTGTCTACTTAGTGAGCGACAGTGTAAGGCAGCAACACTGCAATCTCACGTTAAACAAATCAGCTTGTCCAGTCTAAACTAGTATCCAATTAATCTGTCCTGTCATCTCTTGTAAAAACTGCAGCTTTGCTTCTTGCACTCCAGATCAAAACCAGCCTGCAGCAAGAGTAAAAGGACACTGAAAGAAAACTTTGGAAAATAATCATGGGAGTAACTTATTTTGAAAGTTTCATTTCAGAGAGCTCTGCTGCCTCCTAATTGTTGAAAACAAGTAATTTTTAGGTTTCACCATTCCAGTTTACGTACTGCTGCTATTCAGCTGAACAGTGTTTTTCAAAAAAGATTGACAAGTACGCATGTGCCAGGGACCAAATTGCAGGGTTCTTTGGTGCAGTCAGTCCAAATTCTCAACAGTTTTGAAGGATAATATGTACCAATAAAAAAAAATGCTGCCAGACTTGGATAGCAGCTCTGTCTTGCTTCACATTACAAATCTAAAACAGCTGTTCTCAATAAGCCAATATTTTTAATCAGACATTGCCTGAAAATTTTGTACAATAATCTGGACCAATGATGGTTCTGTACCCTCATGTTGCTGTAAAACATGACTTGAGCTAAAGGCAAAGACTGGTTATCTCAAGGACAACTGCTTCGTATTAGCAATCAGAACAGTGTATTTAAACTGTCTTCCTGTTGGGTCTCTTGCCTTTCTTTAATATTAGTTTATTCTTAATGTAGCCACGCTTCCTTTTGGAGGTCTAAAAAGAAAAACAGAATAAAATGTATTAGTTAACGATTTAGTCTTGACCATGGTTTAATGATGTGCATTTCAAAGCCTGATCTTCAGCTTGATTTTAAAAAGCCTAGACAGTACACCATCGAGTAGGTACTAGCCCATTGTTACTTTTGAAGCTGGGATTGTTAATTCATGCCCAGCATTTGCTTTTGCATAAGATGTACTTTTGCAAGGCCCACCTAGGAAATTTATAGACTTGTTCTCAAAGCTTGTGCTGAGGCAGAATTAATAATAAGCCAACATGATAAAGCTCTAATATACCTAAAGAGAAGAAGTGGTGTAGTGTTAGTTTTGTTTGAAAATACCTTCTTGCACCTTTTGGACTATGTGATTCTCTTTAAAATTAGCAAGATGATAAAATATTTGCTCAAAGCAGCATTTTCCAAAAGTTAGAGAAAAACTGAATCACGTTTTAGTCTTTAGTCCTCTGCTAGTTGTCTGTAGGCTAGTTAGCAGTACTTGCTCATTTATCTTTATCAGCATATTTATTTTTTTTTTTTTTTTTAAGGTAGCAATGGTGAGAAGCATTAATATTATTAGTCTTAGGTAATATGACCTTTAAAGTTGTACAAATACGGTTAGTTAGTGGCAGGGGGGGAAAGCGAAGGTTAAATTTGCAGTTCCACCTTCCCTGCCACAACACCAGACAGTAGGCAGCTCCCACGCTTACGTCAATTAAATATGACTTTTCTGTTTTTAATAATATCAACAATAATATGATTATGAAATGAGATAGATACAAACGAATATGTAACAATCAGACATTGTATCTCTGAGCTTGAGCAATGTCATTCCTAACATGGAAAAGTGCCAGGAGATGGGCTGAATTTCCAGTAAGGAAGCAACTGCTGAAAACTTGTGGCTACTAAGGAGCCCTCAGAATGTATTTAAGAAATCCTAGTTCAGACATTTGCCCCACGCTCTTTGCTGGCTCTCTGATTTCTTAGTGGGATGTAGAGCCTGTTTGTACTGCAAGAATTGATGACGGATCAGAATTTACATCAACTTTTATCATGTCTTTAGACAAAGCTTAAGTGGGGTCAATGCATCTATCATTAACACATATGGCCTTGTTTATCACTTAAGATCAACAGTTAAACCCATGAAGATGACTTCAAACAGTAACCAGCCAGACACTAAAGTTCCGTCAACAAAAGTTTCATATTTAATTTATTTCATACAAAATTGCAATTTTTAAACTTCTAGGCATCACTACTTTCAAACAAAGTCAGAAAGCAACTTCCACATCATTTACTTAGTGAGCCATAGTTACTGAGACATGAATTGATGTATTTTAGAGATTAAACATCCAGTTACATGAAGACTTACTTAAAGTGTTGTAAAAGCCAGTGACACACTCTATTTCCAGTTAGCATTCTGCCTAAAAAAATGTCTAGCCTTGGGTCTTCACATGCTTTTAAGTTAAGCAGACAGTAAATTAACGATTACCAGCAGGCAGGTCTGATATTGGACACTAACATGAACAGTATCCATAACGTTCTGGCTAGTGGAAATACATAATTCACCAGCTACTTGATTTGCTGTTAAAAATAAACTGCCACCTCCCGACCCCTTTCAGTTAGTTCACTGGGAACCCACCTTCTTTGACAAATATTTCTGTTTTGGTACAATGTTGGTTACTCTAGGTTTATGATCCAGTGTCTCTCTGTTTTCTAGTTGTTTCACCTTGTATATTCTAACAAGCCAGTGCTCTGAGGTAAAGGCTTCCTCCAGATGTTTAAATTTTATGTCTTTGTTGCCTATCTCAGCATTGCGCGTACGGTCGAATCCTGGGGGTGTCCGAAAATCCAGCTATAAAAATTAAAGTTGCATATTAGTTTGAGAGGAACCCCAAAACACACATCAATGCAAACTGTGGAACTTCATATCACAAGACAATGCTTTCAGCTAGTCTAGTTGAAGGACAACACTTCTCTTGCACTGATTATTACCACACAGAAAAAACTCTCCATTGCTTTTACAGCTGGGAAGGAGATAAAGTCATTCTTACTCCTACAGATGTTGTAGGACACAGCACGTACTGGCTCACCAGCAACACTGTGTCTGGATTCAGAGGTGAAACTACTCAAGTGAACATCTGAGGTGCAGCCTGTGGTGGCTTTGGTGGCCTGTGGTGTAGCTGCTTCCTTGTGCTCTCTCTTCTACAGCACAATAACTTGTACTTTCATGGTTTTCCATACAAGTCAGAAATAGTTCATGTGTAGCAGTTAAATTTGACCCCCCTCTGTTACAAGTACTATCCACTGGCCTCAGTTTTAGCCGAGTAAAGGATTCTTGTGCCAACGCATCAGAATGCAGGGCCCTTTGGGGGGAGGCAGAACAGGAAAGAAAAATCAAACAAGGCAGTTGTAGCTATGTACAAATATTTGATGATCCCAAAGGGCACTGACAATTCTTTCTGAGAATTACACCCTTATTATTATTGTATTATATGTTGTATAATACAATAATAATAATACAACACTTGTATAATAACAACTGATGTGACTTGGACAGTAATCAGTTAGTTTCTGACAGATATTAAACAGTCAATGAATAGTTCTGCTTCTGTGTTGCTGTTACAAAAAACCCAAATCTAAAGCTCTACACAACGTAGCAGTTAATGCTTCAGCAAGCACACTGCGTAATGGAATTAAGCTGCTTGTCTGGGGCAATGTGAAGGACAGCTAAATGCCAAGCACAAGCACAGGTTAGCAGCAGAAATGCTTTTTTCTAAAGGTTAGATACAGTAGACTGTGCCTAGATATGTTTTAATTTGCAAAGCTGACTCTTACCTCTGATTCTGCTACTACAAGCAACACTCAATCTAAAAGATGGAAAATACATGAAAATAACATTTGTTTTCTCACATTTCAATTAAGAATCTGCAGAAGTTGTAACACTAACCTGCATCTCTCCAAATCTGTAATAGGACATTTTATACATGAGGCAGTTCAGCAAAGTTGGAGAACCCGCCTTGTCTACCCGGAATTCTCCCTGAGGGGTAAAATAGTCACTTTCCTTTAAAAAGAAAAGATACAAAGAGTCAATATAAACTAAAGTCACTTTCTCATTCCCTTCTCCACAAAAAAAACCCTCCATAATCTAAACTAACTTTTACAGTTTAAAAGCTGATTTAAGCTTGTCTTAGAACAGAAAATGATGGTGCTCATTAGAGGTAAAATAGTCGGTAACCCAGACCCCAGTGGATCAATCTTCCTAAATCCATATTATTGTGCTTGTGCAAGTTTTGCTGCTTCACGGTAAGCAGTTATGGGAAAACTGATCTCAAAATGTAAAAGTTAGTTTGGCATCTATCAAAATTATTCTTCAGAAAGGTGAAAAGCACTGTATTGTTAATATACACGGTCTGTGATCTTACCATGAACTTCATATGTGCACAGTGTTTAAATAAAAAATTTCTGCCATTTTTTTCTTGAATACAAGATGAAACTATGCACATGGGCTACTCCCTTAAGCCTGTGCTCAATATCTAGAAGGTTTTGTTAGGCTTAGGAAAATATTACTACAGGTTTCTGCAATCTCTGAGATGTTTGAATAACTTAAACTCTACATAAGTCAATATTTACACTTGTCTCCAACTATTACAGAGTTTGAAGAAATTTGTAATGCCAACTATTTAAACAGTCTGAACACTCCTACTTCTCTAAAGCATGATGGTGCACAGTGGGACACAAAGGAATTACAAAAGATACCCTGTACTTTTAGCATCGTGCAAAAAAAAGTGAAAAGCTTTGAGGTTCCTGACCTTTCAAAACCATGAGTATTGAAAGAAACTGGGCTACTGCCTTCTGCACTCCTACCGTTCTACTAGGAAAACAACCCATAACGCATCTTTCAAATAAAATTGTAGTAAGTAGTAGAGATTTCCCTCCACTGTTATGAACACCAGAAAAGCAACAACATAAAGGTTTAAGAACAAAAAAAAAAGAAGTAGATATGAACATACAGAAATAGAGTATTCAAGCTGCCTCAGTTTTTCTTGTGTACATTTCTACTTACCCGAATATCCTTGGGATGTTCCCCCTCTGCTATTCTCACCATCCACAAGAACTTATTAATATCATCACCAGAGTAGCCAATGACACCACCAAAAATAATCAAAACATAATCCACATCCAGGCTTCTCATGATCTCATATGCTGCCGACTCATTTGATGACATTGCCTTTCCCACCTGTATCACAGCAAAAAGATCTTAAATACCTGCACAGCTGCCTATCAAGCAGATCCACCTGACAGACCAAAGTCCGGGAATACACACTTTAACCAAAGACCTCATTTTCCTTCCAAATAAAGAAAACCCATTGTGAATATTTAGAAACCCAAAAGGTAAACTGTAATACTTTCTCCCCTGTAAGAAGCACTGCCTGTTCAAATGAGCATTTTGAGTATAAAATGTAGCAATGTGTTTTCCTTTTGTGGCAACAAAGCACTGGGGTCTAAACCCCCAGCCCTGAATCAAGGTTGACATAAGGATGATGCCTACAACCAGGCAAAGAGGCCTTCCTCTTGGTTTTCTCTCAAGGCCTGGCCAACCTTAGGTGAAAGCCAATTAGGAAATTAACACCAGGTCCCACCTCTACAGTGAATAATATAAAAGGTGTCTCTGCTAGCAGTGAATGGGGGAAGTCTACCTAGGCAATGGGTGCACTGTGTAGGATTTCCAGTTATTGGAAGGGCTCCCTGACTGTCCACTGCAGTAAGAGGTTCCAGCAATGGTGGGACAGACACTTGAGAGCAAGACAGGACAAGGGTTACGCAGGTAACGATGCTTTTCTTTGGCAGTTGTTGTGGTGATCCCCGTATGGCACCTTCGGTATTGAATCCAAGCTAAATTTATGCAGAGAAAATACCAGAATAGAGACATTCTTGAGTTAAAAGCATATTATAGTTCTGGCCTTGAAAAACTTTCTAAAGCTGTAGCCTGAACCTCTTCCACACTGGTCACTTCCCACACTTCAAGAATTCAGTGAGGTCAGTAACTGGCATCCACTTCCTTAGTTTTGTTATTGCAGCTCTTGTGCTTATGGCATAGTAACACAACTGTAGTAAAAGGGAGGAACTACAATATAAATAATATTGCTTCCAAATTGTTAATATTCAGTTAAGAATGTGAGTAGAAAACACTAAGCTGAGGCTGCAATCTGTCAAAAAGACAGAACCTCTCAGCTTCTTCACCATTATCCTAATTAACGTGAAGTTATTTGGCAGATTTCCAGTTCTATGCAGGAGGGGATCATCTGGACCTGTCTGTGGGGCATGCCTCGTTTAGAGCCCGAGTTCAGGTATTCAACACCACACACATCTATTGCTTGGGTCCCTCTGCATGAAGTATTCATGCTGAAATGGAATCTGACAGTGCCAGCAGTCATAATGGAGAGAATACTTTACTAAAACCCACCACTGCTAATTGCTGTAATGTGTATGGCTACTGTGCTTATGCAATACAGATGACTTCCAGTCTCCCTATTCACATGGTGCTGTAGGGGTGTGTCCTGTAGGTATCTGGATACTTAGTATCTGCACTTCTACCTCTTGTAAAAGAGAGAAAGACACAGCCCTATCAGAGTTGAATCACCACCAAAACACACTAATGCTGTCAGGTCAACAACCAAAATAAGAGACAAGTGCCTTAAAAGACATGGGAAGGCTTGTTGATTGATATTAGCACCAACAGTACTAATTTTCCCAAGCTTTCTTTTGACTGATGTGAGTTGCCTGTCAAAAGCACGGACATGTGATCCTCCCTTTCCCTTACTAGAGGCTTTGTGTGCTCAAAGCACAGCTTGATTAATTTGTTGATTTTGAATGCTGCTTGGTCCAACTGGTGTACCATGTACTGACACATGACAAGAAGCTATCCTAAAATGTCCTTCAAGCCCTTCCTCCAGTCTGCTCACACAGCAGGATATAATAGGTCTTCTGGGAAGGAATGGTCACTGAGGATGATGAGTGACAATGAGTCATCGCACAGCACCTAGTAAGACTGCAACCTAGCTACAGTAGAAAGCATTCTTTTGTTTCTGGCAAAAGTTCAAGGTGCCCAAGGTGGTGCCCCTGTAACCACAGGCAATGCTAACACCCTGCTTTTAAGCACAAGCACGAAGCTTAAATGTACTCCTCAGAAATGAATGAGGTAAAATGTACAGATATTTTGTCTAACTGCAAATTTGAGAAGACAGAATTGCATCAGATCTGGAACACCTCCATTGATTGCTACTCATAAACCTAGCCTAACTGGCAAGATGCCTGAAAATTTGTTGTTTCATGTGGTCACTTTTCACATGCCATTCAAAAAGCTGGTCAGCAAAGTCACTGCTGAACTGAAATGACCCCCGTTTGGATAGTGCCAGTAAGTAAAAGTACCACCTAAGCTGTTGTAGCACTAATCACAAGAGGAATGGTTAAATTAGATTTTGTGTATCCTCCCACAAAGATGATAAACTGAAGTGGAAGTGAAGTTTTTGAAACACATGTAAAAAAAATGGAATCTTGAAAAGCAAAACAGATCCCTTACAGCCCTGACAGTCTACATACTTGAATTCTAATAAATGCAACACACACATTCTTTCCATCTCTGTTTCCCACTCTATGGAATTTTTCCTTAGCATCACACTATTAACAGACATTTACAATGTCACACTTGACTGCAATGTAAACATTTTGGTGTTTTTACTCCATAGAAAATTGCCACCCCTACCAGAGCTATATGGCTGTTGTTCCATGTGTTATTATCAACCAGGGTTGTCCGGTTCGCCATTCCGGCTATCTGATAACCGTAGTCCCACCACGACATCACTCTGGCGTGCTCATCTGTGTTTTGTCTCAGCCAGTAGTAGGCTTCTCTGAAGTCATCTAGGATATTACGAGTGCTGGAAAACAGAGTTCATTTTGTTCACATTGGTACAAATACTAGCAACAAATTAACTGCACCGTGATAAATCTGGGCTCGCAAATAAGGGCTTTCTTACGTGCTCAGCTCCCTTGGAAGGATCCAGTCACTGGCAGCCACCAGTTTGACCCCACCAGCAGTTAAAACGGCCAGAAGCTGAACTGCTTTAGAAGATGTGACTAGATGCATTTCCTATCGACTATATATTCATAACAAGTTTTCCCACTTGAATGGGAATAACTTTCCTAATATCTTTCTTTTTTTAAACTTTTCTTTAACAATTTATCTTTATTGGCTTTGAATAAGACTATTTTTATGCATTTACATTTAATATCTCAGAAAATCGTGTATCTGCTTGAAAATTAGACTATCAAGAATTTTCTATTCAGGTGACAATTCTGCCTTAATATAATAAGAAGGAATTGAAACAAGGTGAAGCAAATTGCTAATACAAAGGACATAGAAAGGCTTTTGCCCCTTAATTATTTTCAGGCCTTTAGACCTTACTTACCCATCATGGTTATAGGACGCGAGGACAACGCTGGGGCTGGAGTACGCGTTGCTGGTTACCCAGGTACAGTGAACAGCAAACATCATCAACAACATCAGCATCAGCATAGTAACAATGTTTTTGATATTGGGACCCAGTCCTTCTTCTGTTTTTTCCTGTTCAGATACATGTTTTCTCACCTTGCCTGCCTAAACAAGCACAAATATATCTGTTACGGCAAATTCCATCACCCTTGACAATGGAACCCCTGCCTGTTTCTTCACCACACGCACCCCCATAAATGCTATGGAATACTACAAAGCTAGGCCAAGTTGTAGGGTAAATTAAGTATGCACAAGAATATTCAGACAATCCAGCAATTTGTAAAAGTGGATGATTCCTTGAAAGCCTCTTTCATAAGGAAAAAAAAATATTATGTGAGTTTATTGTGACTTCCTTGGTTCAGCTCAGTGTGGTGCTACCCTTTTACAATGCAGGGTGGGAAAGAGAAAGGCACTGAGATTTACTGAGGAAAGGGGGGAAACCTAAGGCCTCAGCACTGTCAGTATAACCAAGCCTAAGAAAAAAAAAATAAATTGTGTACCTAACAGCATTTTCTTCTTGAATAGAGTATGCAAGTTTACGAATAGAAATCCTTTTTCATAAAATATAGTATTCTTTAATTTCACCATGTCTTAGCAGTAATACAAGAGGGAAACATGCAGTGACACAAATGATACAGCTGGTTACGAACAACAAGACACTGCCATCACTGGTGAAAGCTGGGTCAATGCTGTACACTTCCTTTAGGTTAAAGGCTCCTCAAGCTAGAAGGAACCACTTCTACACTGATACTATTTTTTTTTTTTTAGGACATCAGTTAAACCTTACTGGAGAACATCAATACTTGTTCTAAACTTAAATGCCAGTGATTCAGACCTCTAGTTCCATTTAAAATACGCTGATCATAGGAAAAAAAATAGTAACAATAAATTGTTTTCTGACTTCTAACTTTCGCTTCCTCCCCTCACCTTATCATACAGATTGCCAGGGTTCCTTTTGTCATCCTCATCACTGCTGTCTTCTATTGGTGGATTTTCTCTCTTCATATCATCACCCAAATAACGCTCAAAAACATTGGAGAAGGCAATTGCAGACAGCATACAGACTACTGGAGTCAAAGTGAGCATCAGCCGAACCATCACACCGGCAAAGTAAACAGCGCTGATCGCGTACAGAGCGACTGCAAAGGAACAAAGCACTGATGGCATTCAGGAAATAACACACTCTGCCGGCACAAACATGTGCTCGCCACGGAATTACCTCTGGAAGTGGATTGAGCATCTCTGTATATAAAGACTTGAGGATGCATCTTGCGTTTCTTTGCTTTTTAATTTACAGAGATACAGCTTGATTAACATTCATCCCTTAAAAGCCTCAAACCCTTCCTGAAGGTCATCCTGACAACTGTTAGCAATAAGACAACCCCATTTTCATATTCATTAATAATGTGTCAGAAGATACATTATTAGTGAAATTTAGTATCACACACCAAAAATACTACTGGAATAATAGGTAGCTTCATTTGATTAAAAATCTCAAAGAGCCGCAGCCCAAACAAGTTATTGGAACTGAAAAGGTAAAAGGAAGTGTTAGAAGTTCATGTAAACATCAAATTCTAATTTAAGTTAGAGATATCTGTGGACAAATTGGGGGCTTGTCTACATTATATTTCCATACAGATAAATAATATGATACTGTGAGCCCTATTCTGAAGCAAGATTTCCTCAACAGTATTATCTCCACTCTCTGCTCCGACAAACCAGCCAAGATTTTCAGAAGAGTAAGAAATTTTCAGAACACTTTTCTGATAAGGAAACAAACCCACCAACTTGTATACACTGGTTAGGAACATCTAATGTTCAAGTAATAGTGGTTATTCCTTGTCTGCTACAGTTTAACAACACACTTTTGTGACATATTTGCCACAGAAATAATGAAGTGACACTCATTTATCAGATTACATTACCTAAATATTTTCTACTTTGTAGCAAAGCAGTATGGCTTCCCATTCTCACTCGCAGATCTCTTTATGATGACTATAAATGGATGATGCAGCAGTAGGAAGCACTAGTCTTGCTGAAGACTCAATGTAAGTCACAGAGCACAGAATATCCCAGAGTCACTGATTTAACACAGTAAATGTACCCACTCCCCACATACCTCTTAGGTAGTCCTAAGAGGCAGCTATAATAGTCTGAAGCCTCATGTCCCTGTAAAAGCCCAAGACCCAAGTGATTTTTACTGCTCAATATGGGATACAACTTCATACTACATCCTCAGAAGCCTCATTCATAACCTTAGGAGTCTGCTTTCACAGCACTGCTTCATGCAAATAAACAATTTGTTGTCACTGACACAGGGACACCCCACACCTCCACTTAAGTTTGTGCCTTATCTAGCACTCATTCCACAGCAAGTGATTCAGTTCACTAAAATAGCAGAAAATCTGGAATGAAGAGGCATTTGAATCATCATCTGTGATGGGAGGGATGCCAGACACCTGGAGAAGGGTTGGTTGCCTTGCAGCCTATGTAGGGTAGGGACCTTCCCTTTGTACTGAGCTGTATGTCTGGCTGACCTGCACTGTGGAACTGCACCCCAGCACACGGTCTGCAAGACTGGCATGTGGAAAAGCATGCAACTCCAGATGCAGAACAGAACCACACCAACCAGTATTTCAATCCCACCTCTTGGGATGACACTCCCATCACCATTTCACCAACCTGCATTTTTATAATTTGGTTTAAATAGTGATGGGTGCAGGCAACTTTTAATAATCATCTTTAAACACATCACTTGCAAACCTTTTTTTCAGAACAAGCCATATACCAGCTTTAAGCAAATAAAAGCAAAATAGAATCAAGTTGAAGGCAAGATTTTCAAAACAATTTTAAAATATTTTCTCTTACCAAAGACTCTTTCATCATTGATGTTTTTGATACAGAACCACAGCCCTGCTGGGAAAGTACACACGAGAATATGCAGATCAAAAAAGAAGGAAACCCATGTTGTAGGCTGATGCTCAGACACAGAGGCAATGATCGGGATGTGAATTTTCGCATACCTTTTTTAAAAAAAATTCAGTTCAAATTATTTTGAAAAGATAAAATAATTAAAACTTTCAAACATTAGGAATTCTGAAAATCATTTCAAAAGAAGCATTTCACTTTAAAATGGCAAGTGTTCTATTCAGCAGAAATCTAGTGAAACTTCTATACCAAAAAGGTCCCCAGGTCTTATTGTGTTTAGAAAGTATTTGGTGTATAGAGTTACTTAAAACACCAACATAAAGGATTATTTCTATACTAATTAAAAGTATGAAAATTATGGATGTTTTATTATGGCTAAATAGGAAGCCAAATTCACCAAATGAAAACACACAGCTATGGAAGCCTCATCATTACATTTTGTAGACATAATCATAGGTCTCCTAGATTTTCAACAGTGTATTTCTAAACCCCTCCTCTACACAGAACACCTCCATTTCCTTAGTACAGTAAGTTACAGCATTAAATAGAAGACAAGTTACTGATGTCACCCCGTTCTTTTAGGTGCTGAAAAAATCCAGCCTTGGCTACACTTGGAAATATGTCAGCTGAACAACTTGTCAAACAGTCAGTGCAGACAAGGACAAAACTGTGTTCTGTATTCAGGACAGCTATACATACAGACCTAATCTGGGGTGCTACCTGACCAAACAGTGAGGTGTCAAATGTCTTTTTCTTCACGGAGATCTGCTCCTCATTTGGAACTGCCTTGTGTTTTAACACAATATGATTTCCTAATGTAGACAAGCCCTCAAAAGTTTAATGCTGGTGTATATAGATAGACAGATGACGCCATTTATAGGCAAAAAACAACGTCTGTATGGTCTTCATACAAATCTGAGGCTTCTTTACTGACAGGTACTCCCTCTCCTGACAGGGTTGGTACAGAAGCCTACATGAGCTGGACTTTGGAGCCTGCAAAAACCTGAACTGCAAAAAGATTGAAGTTCTCTTATCTTTGCTTTTAATCTTAAAAAGGTCTACCAATTGAATTTCACCTTAAGTACATTTATCTGAGAAAAATATCTTCAGTTTTATTCCTGTTCTCCTTGTTGGCTAAGGAACTCAACATTGGATTTTTAAAGGTTAACTAAAACAGAACATTAAGTAACAGTGTTTTTTCTTGTGGAAACACACAAATAAGCCAGAATTGTTCAGAGTAGACATCTGTATACACAAAACAGATGTTTGAACATATAAACAGGCAACATGCAAGATCACATGTGCAACATCTTTGTGATTCTGTGTGATGTTGTGAAAATGAAAATAGTCTAAATTTAAGGCTCTTAGTAGTTTTTAATTGTGTCCTCAAATGCTGGTACAGGTTTGGGTTTTTTTTTTTTCCTTTATGCTGAGAAGCACTATGATTTCACACAGAGAAGCATACCATCACATATTCACAGACTTCCAAAGCAGCAAGAAATTTAATAGACAAATTAGTGAACTGTTTGCAAAGATCACGGAACAGTTACTACCAAATATTCTCTTCAGAGAACTGCTTAAAGCCTACTGTATTCCCCTTGATTGAAATACTAAATGGATTTGAAGATGAGGAGAGCAAAAGATTATTATTTTTCAGTAGAATGCTATCGAAATCTAAAATCCTTATATCCTTTCTCCTTACTTACCCAGTGTCCCACAACGAATAAAATCTGCCACTCCAAGGAGCAATATAACCTGAAACAGAGAAGAGGAAAAAACAAAACATTTTGCTGTCTAGGTATTTAGATGCAATAATTTTTCCACCCCCTCAATTTATAGCACAAAACCAAAGATTTTCTTTGGACCCAGAATACATGTGAACCAGACCTACTGCATTAGGCAAGCTATAAAATCTACCGACCATGAAGCTAGTTTTAGAAGAACACACTCTTACAGGATCACAATGACTTGTCAAATATCAAGACACGCATGACTCCAAAAGTCAAAGTAATGCAATATTAAATGTAAAAAAAATTATCCAAGAATATGAGAGATAGTGTCCTATAGTCTTGTAAAAATACATAAGAAAAATAAAACATAATTGATAAGAAAGTTTTTAATTTTTCTAAAATGCCTGAGCAGGACACTGGGAATGATCTAGAGTCAAAACACTAATACTTGAAACACTCATTTCCTATTGTTTCTTTACAGATGGACCTACATGTTTCATGGAATATAAAAAAGCTGCTACTAGACATGCTGATAATCTTTACTTTTTTTTTTGAGAAAGACTTTTGATACTTGAATATCATAAGATGAAAAGAAATAATATCATATGAAAGATAAAAATTACTGTTAAAAGTTATTAGTAAGATTCTTAAATTTTATTTTCACTTTCCTTGCAACTGTTTCAGCTCCCTCTGAAGAGATACACTCAAGCTGAAATAAGAGGAAGTTAAAACCTTTTATTTATTACCCAAGATTTTGTGCATGACATAGTAACTCTTCTCTATCTGATATTTAAATTTAGTAATAATCTGACTGAAGGCTTTATTTTAATATCTAGTGTAGATATTTAAATAGTGTGGTTAATGTTCTACAACAAGACATATTTTTCCCTTCAGTCTTCAGCTGCAAAGCCTATTCCCAGACCACTGCATGCACAAGAATGAGCCACCAGCAGATGGGGAGCTACCAGTTATGGTTTCTCTGCATGCATCCAAAACATGAGATCAGGTGGCGTTCACTTGATGGTGCTGAAAGAGTTGGCCAATATGATAACTACACATCACCTTCATCAGGAAGATAAGGGAGGCCCCTGGAGACTGGAAAATGGCCAGTGCTACACTTCTAGGAAAGGCAAGAAGGAATATGCAGGAAACTACAGACCAGAAACTTGAATCCCTGAAAAGATCATGGAGCACAGCCTCCTGAAATACATCATTAAAACGCTTTTTGAACCATCTTCCTCTTTTCTCATTTATGAGCTGAAGGAGGATGGGCTGGACAGACAGACCATTTGGTGGGTTGAAAACTGGCTGCCCTAACAAGCTCGAAGTAGTACCCAGTGGATTGGGGTCCAGCTGGTGGCTAGTAAAAAGTAAAAATATCCCAGAGGCCAAAACAGTGAACTGTGTTAAACTGAGGAGTGGCTAACATGTCTTATGGTACACAGTACCTCAATCCAGAACCTCAAACCCCTTCTCCCAGGTGCTGCACCTGGGATACAGGGTCCAGGTGTGGTCCACCTTCTGCAAGAGGATTAAGAAAATAAAGAGGGATCAGTGTGCTGTGCGATGGGCAGAAGCCCATAATACACAGCACACCAGAAGCTGATGGAATGAAATTTCCTTCATCTGGTGAAGCAGTGATACTGATCAGTAGATTTCAGAAGCTGATATCCACACTTTCTAAGAACTGCAACAGAAGACATATTCTGCTGTACACTGAGATTTTGTTGAAATTTAGAAGCTGAAAATTCAGAAGCTGAATATTGTTTTGATATGCCAGTCTGAGAATTTTTGCTAAGTTACTAGTAGGACCTGTTTATAGATACAGAAAAGCAAATCATAAACCAACAAGTTTTCAAAGACTTTCAAACAAATAGAGATGTTAACTATTCTTTTGGAATAACAGCATCATAATTAACAAAAATAAAACTGCTATGAAACAGTCCAAAATGTTAAACAACTGATAAAAAAACCCCACAACCTATGGCAGGAACATTGATAAAAAGTAATACAAGAAAGAAGTCAATTGAAATAAAAACAAGTTATGTCTCAGGACTTCCCCCCTCTTCCCCCTCCCCAAAAAAGAAAATAAAACTATGGAAAAACAGAAGTGTATTTGAGGTGTAATATAAAGATCATGCAATACATGCCAAGCAGAAGTCAATTTTTGCATGGGGAACATATTTGGCTAGGAAAATAAGATTGCTTTTTCTTCATGAGGCGAAGAAAGTATATAATGGAATTAGAAGATGGCAATGATTGTGGATAAACCCAAAATACTGGAATGGTGCTATGAAGTAGGTTTTTTTTTCTGCAGCCCAAAAAGCACAGTGAACTCCAACACCCAGAAATACAGAGAAACATGGACACTGTTTTGCTGTGGCATTGCTGCCAGCTACGTTAGACTAAGGCAAATATCAATCATCTGGTTTATCTGCCAAACACATTAATTAGTTTCACATTTTTTTACCTGTGTATGTCAAATAGATGACACTCAGGAATACAATACCAGCAGCTAGTGAGACACCCAAGAAGAACAACGTCTGAAATTCTTGCTTTGTTAATCTGTCTCTCAGATACTGCAAAAATGCATAGGCCTGCAGCAGTGCGAAAACACCTAAAGGAAGAGGAGAGTTTTTGATGAAATACTCAAAAGCTGTAACAACTCTTAAAGCAATTGGCATACCTTGGCTACCTTTGAATTAGAAAAATAAATGTAACGTACAACCTTACATCTAAAAACTAGTTTAAAAATCACTTTCTGACAAGTAGCCTTTAATATTTAACAGGGGTGATACTTCCTTGCAATGACAGAAAGTAGCAATGAGGCAAAATACTCTCCCAAATATTCTTTACTTCTTGTATAGAGAGCTCCAATATGTACTGCCCCTTTGCTCCAAAATTAAATTTGGAATCACCTGAAAACCAGGTTGCACTGATTATGACAAAAGTACAGGGTAACATACCCAGAAATGGGGAAAAATTAAGACACAGACCCCAGGGAACACACAAACAAGGCTAACATAGAAACATATGGAAATTAAACTACTGACCAAAACAGGATTTAATGAAAGAAAAAAGAAAAAACCCAAACAAACCCAAACCAAACCAAACAAGCATTAAGTGATACAGACAACAGAGTTATATAAAGCTAGTGTTGAAACACCAGAATTCACTGGGTAAGCACCCCACATCCTCAAAACGCTCTTCAGTTTAACATTAAACCAGAACTCGGACGTGATTTTTCTGTTGTTATTCTTTTCAATGTATACAATCAGATTAATCCAGTGATCAGTCAATTCAAAAATGAAAATTCACTGGTAACTGGCATAAGAACAAAACAGAACACAGGTGTATGGTCTTTCTTCAATTTAACAATAAATTTGAGGTGCACAATGGTGAAATTCACTTGTTCTAAACTCCTAGAGAAAGACACAAACTCCATGCACTAAATAAATGTAAAATTCTCCAGATACCAGATGGGGTTTAATGAACTTTACTCTTTTCATTCTATTCAGATTGTTTGAAAAAAACACAAAATCTCAATTTTTCTGGTAATTCTTAATGCTATTCCAACTGCTGTCCCAAATATGTTTGGATAAGTGACTCTACACAATAAAGTACCTGAGGAATCTAACAAGCTAAACTATTGCACAAACAGTGTAATTAAACAGCAATTAAGCATAAACCTATCAGTTTTAGTAGATGTTATTGCTGTTAAGAAGACAAGATCTCTGACTTAACTATTGAAAAATCAACTTACTTTAAAGAAATAAGAAGCATCAAGCAAGATTGAAAGCAGTCATTTAAAAATCAGTCACCTGATAAGGAATTTGAGTAATTTGTATTTAACCCATTAGAGAAGACTATCAACTATAAAACAAAATGGCTCAGTAAAAGCTTTGTTTACCAATACATAATGTTTCAATTGTACAATGCTTGAAGGCAACATTATATTGTAGAACAGTAGAGATTACCAGTGTGTAAAATAAGTGCTTGTTAGAATGCGTGATCTAGTGTTATGGAGGCATCTTACCTCCATTAGCTCACACAAAGAAGGATAATGTGTCAACTGGAAAGAACTTCCCCACAGACACTAAATTCTAACGCTAACAAATTTTGTTGGCTAGTACATGCTCTTTCTAACACAAGGAAACAAAGTTGCAGTCATTTGAGGCTTTCTTGTGCTAGGCAAGCTGTTTGGAAGCAGATATTTGATTTTCTTACCTGCAGCTGCCATGTGTTCACTTGTTCTAATTGGCTGAAATCCCACAAAAGGTATCTGCATTGATAATATTAACCCTACAATGTAGAAAGTGCTATATGCTAAGAAAAAAAGGGTGTGGAGAGAGGAGGAAGAAAAAGATGGAAGAAAATTAATATACACATTTCAGAAAACATTGGTTCTATAGCAAAGTCCACCCTTCTCCCATTTTCAGTGATAGCATAATATCACCATATCATATCATTCTTAGTATTCTAAGTATTTCAACCATCCCAATTACTTTTTCCTCCTTTTGACTAGAACAAACCTGCATCCAATTTTAGAGGAAGAAGCAAAGTACTGTTGTTCTAATTGCACTATTTTTTCTTCTTCTAGGGAAATAAACCATCTACCTAAGATGTTCTGGCTTGGAAATAGTTTTCTCTTCCCTTCTTCTTTTTGTGGGTCATAGGCTGGGGAAAAGACCTCAAATAAGTGACAAAAGAAGCCTTCTATATGAGGAGAAATTGAAGGGACTCAACCTCAAAGAAGCAAAACATTTAAGAGCCCACTACCAATTTAGAAAATGCAAAGAGGTATGCTTGTTTTTTTTTTTTGTTTGTTGTTTTTTTTTTTTGTTTTGTTTTGTTTTTGTTTTTTGTTTTTAATATAAGAGCAGAGGCATGCCAAGAAACTGAAAAGCAACAGAATTAAAAATTAATAAGCATATGTATTAATGGATCTATATCAACCACGAGGACTCAATGTCCCCGAAAGTAGAGGCCAAGAACAAAATTAATATTATTATTAATAACATGAATTATTCTTATGTATGCACTAAGATTCATATACTCTGTTTGACAGGGTTTTGGTTCTCAGTATTCCAGGGCAAAGAGAGGGGAGTGGAACAAAAAAATACCAACTCTGAACAGCCATGAGTCTGATCACGTCTCAAATAACCAGGCAGCTTAAAGTCCAAATGAAGTTTTGTTCCTTCAGTGGCAAGCAGCAATAATCCACCTCCCAGTTTTTTAAACACTCCTACAGTTCATGAACCACTATCTTTCTTATGGCCTTGATCCTATGCAGACATCCCCACTCTCATCCAATCCTTTGCTAGCCTCCCTGAGAACAGGATTAGGGAGTGGATTTCCCAGTGTCATGGCTTCCATAGCACTTGGGTGGTCTCACTGGGGGGTTATGCTCCCAGGGTGCATTCCAAGAGTCACAGAAGTGACTGTGGTGATACTCCCAACCATGTCCTGTCTTCTCTGATATATTCTTTCAAGTATCTGTATTACAGTGCTGGGCCTAGCTACTGATCTATGCCCTCCTACATCACTGAAATACATTTTTGCTGTAGGTAGCTCATTTTTTGAAGGATTCACCTCAACATAAATCATTATACTCTACCATAGAAGTGTTACAACACTGCCATCCTGTGGAAGTTCAATGATTGGCATAAACCACTACATTTCACATTTGCTAGACCATTGTAAATCATAATTTTTAAGCTTACTCCTGCAACGTTTCTACTTTCTATACCCACTTTCCCCCCAGTCCTTACTCCCATTTCCTTCAAACAGCTATCACACCTGTCTGCCTGTTATTGAAAAGAAACCTAAGAATTTACACAGCAACACAATTTTTCTACAAACTTAAGATAGGTCAAGGTGACATATCATCACAAGCTTTCCATGTTCTTTTACATTCTACTCTTTTCACAGTCCTTGCAAAAACAACAAGTTAATTTTGATTCCTGCAGGCTAATGTCATAGTTACAACTTTGACTAGGTCAAGAACAAAACCATTATGACCTACTGTGAATAAACTAATTTTACAAACAATTTTATTTGCTGTATGTGTCACAAACAGAGGATGAACCTACTGAAAAACTTCTCCAGAGAGTACGATCAAATACTTGACCACATACCTTCAATTAATGCATTATAATCACCAGAAATAAACACTCATCATCTGAAGTTTCAGAATACTGAGGCAGTTGATATAAATACATCAACTGTTCACTATTTAAATTATAAAATCCAAGACCTAGAACAAGGAATTATTGAAATAAGTTTTCCTTTCTAGAAGATCCTTAAGTGTTTTGTTATTAAATATTCCAGAACATATACAGAACTTAAAGTTGCATGGGGGAAAAAAAATCAAATCGAAGTGAAAATTACCAAGACCCTTAAGTGTGCAGGCATGACTTAAATCTTTCCAAATGTAAAACCATTTGTTGTTTAAACATATGATAAACTACAAGAGAAATTACATGTACAAAAACATAAAAGAATATCAGTGATCTCTGCATCTGAATAAAAGTTATTTACCTACGTAAACGCTGTTAACACATTGGATTTGTAAGCACTTGTTCTTAATTATTGTTCTTAATTATTAATGGAAGATACTGACCACTGTTATAACAAACAAAAAAAGAAAGCACATCAAGCTTTCAGATGTAGGTAGTGTTTGATGCCAAACGGTCAGAAGCTATGTCTGATAAATTCACCTGCCTGTAACTTGTAAATTTTTTTTTTTTTTTCAAAATTGGCAATAAGTTCATGTTCTGGGAAGTTTTTACTCATTCTGAATTACACTGCCAGGCATATCAGATTACGTCCCATTAATCTTTTACTTGGTATATGGATATCCATGTGAAAAATATATATCAGGAAACCACTATTTTTAAAACCTTGGTGATGCCAAATATTTCTCTTTACATTTATGTTATTATGTTAGACTAAACATTCATCCATTACAGAAGTTAGGCTCATGCGAATTTAAAATAAAATTAAGCAACTGATCTAGAGATTAAAACTCCCCAAATTCTCTGTAATAGTAAAATGGATGCAGATTTTACTGGCAACTGTCAGCTGACAATAGTTTAGAAAAGTTTTTAGCTGCACATTGGTAGTTTTTTGAGAATTACGAGACTGCTGCAGACACACCAGCTACTGCACATGACAGAAACTCCAGAAATATCTTTATTCTCCCTATTTCAATGAGCTTTTGTAAACTCTTCTCCCTATCTGAATAGTTTGGAAGTGAAGCACACTTGAATTTCCTCTCAGAAGTGCTTGAACATTCTTACTTGTTTTACAAAAACATCCTGTTAAACAAACCTAGAAATCACAGACTAATGTGAGATGTACAGACCTCTCTGTGTATAAGGCTTACCATGAAAGCTTAAATTAAGTCAGCAGTTGCAATGAAATAGCAGAGCAGCAATCACATTTTCATTCTGACAACTCTGCTGAAGTACATCTCCCTCACAGCTGAAGGGCAATAACATCTCAGAATGCTGTAGCTATTTGCAAAGCAAATGCCTGTCAAACCCCTTAATTCCTATGAACCTGCAGTACTATTTACCCCAGATGTGTTCAAACACTAGTTCATTGAAAGCTGAAAAAGCAATAGTACTTATTCTTGATTGTTTCTGGTTACCACATCGCTTCAGGATTTTATAATTAGTAGATCTAATTTTCTTTTGCTTAACTCACAGAAACTGAAAAATGAAAATATTAAATAAAACAATTTTAAAAGCAAAACAAGACAACTTTCCTCTTAAGTTATGAAGAATTAGTTAATGAAGAAGTTAAGCAATACTAACATTAACAATTAAAGATAGGTTAGAGTTTTTTGAAAAAGAATTTCTGTTTCTGAATTATACAAATAGATTAACAAAGGAACAACCCAACATTTATCTTTTTGATAACAAAAATACAAAACTGGAGTAAATTGAGTAATTACTGTAGATAATGGTTCAAATATATATGTGTACATATAGTAACTTCTCGAGCAGGCACTAAAAAAAGAACACTGAAATAACTAAAACACAAAGATAAAACAGTACTGAAATGGTCAATGAAAATATATTAATATGAAACATCCTGTGATATCATATTTCAAGTCAATACTACATTCTCAAACCGTCTGTTGTAGAGGTTTCACATTAGGGAGTAAAAAATGTTCTGGCCAACTTATAAATCTTTGAGTATCCAAAGCTTATAATTTATTCAATTCACACACCTACACCATGGCCAACTGATTTCAATGGTAAAGTCTCTGCAAAAAGAGTTTACAGAGTATTTAAACATCAGGCAAATCAATTAAGAAGTTAGTCTCCTAAGATCAGTATTCACGCATTCCTGAAACTGGAAGGAGGGCTGATCCATTAAACCAACAAAATTTTAAGAATTCATCTGGGGTGGGTAGACTCTTACACTGCTCTTCAGTCCAGGTTACACAAAACATACATGGCTGCTTACAATTCCCTACTTCTTTTCTCATATATGTCACAATAAATACTATGTGTTTGCATAATTTCTGCTGCTCAACTTTTAAAAAATGGCAATTGTTTCACATACTAGGAAAGGACAAAAATGTGAAACATTACTACAGACAATAATACAATACAATACATAACGATAGAATAATATCTATATATAAAAGACGTTAAAATGATTCTACAAGCATAAAGCCATCCAATTTTTTTTTCAGTGCACTAGAAAGGAAAAAATAGCAACTACATATAAGAAATTTTGGAAGTGTGAGTATGTTTTAACTCCTTAATTCCATGTTGTAGAGAATAACTGACTATAATCAGCAAAAAATTAATGAAACGCATCTTGTTATGGAATTACATAATTCCCACTTGACGCAAAACACATCAGTATAATTAATTTCATATCTCAACATTAAGCATCTGAGAACGACCGTCCAATGAACAAATCTTACCGATGTAGACCCTCCTGCTGTATCTCTGCATCAGCAACAGAACAAACACATGCAGTGGAATAAGGTTGATGATGAAAACATAACCACCCCATGCAGAGACCTATGAGAAATGGAACAAGAAATTAAATCTGAAAATATCTGCAAATTAGAGTAGCTAATACTGGCTTTACACATCCTGACGGTCTAACAAGAAATCACAAACCCCATTTAAACAAGCCGCCAGAACTACTAGTAAAACCACTAGAACATTTTTCAATATTTATTATCAAAACAGAAAAATTTCCAACAAAAACTCCACAAGTCAAAGACTTTTGAGATGGGTTGGAGATTTCCAAGGTTATCCTTCCTGTATTTCCTCCTTGTCCCAGGCTAATCTGGGTCATGCTGGCAAACAAGAACGGGATGTTGGGGGCTTTTCCTCACTGTGAGGGCTGCAGCACAAGGCAGTGGTATGGCTCCCACGTAGCACCCAGAATTTTCCTTCGACATACAAATTTAGCACCACGCTCTGCACTTTTTGCTGGGGACAGGGAACAGTACCTTCAGCCAGAGAGGAGAAGGGGAGCAAGGTACACCTCTGGGAGCAGAACTGGAGCAGAGCAGCCAATGCAGGTTGCAGGGTAAGGAAATAACCAAAAGGAAGGGGGTGGATGCACAGGGAAGCAAGGCTGAGCACCATGGCTAGCCCAAACCCACAGTAACAGCAGCATTTGAGAAGCACTGGCACAAGGTGCTTAGAGCTGAAACACTACGATGTTATTGATACATCGCTGGCTGCTGCTTTAGATAAAGATTTAATGAGCCATCATTACCATGCTATCCAAATTTGTAACATATTTAGAAGGGCTAATGTTGACTTGACAGTCTGTATTTTAACACGTCCTCTTGTCAAATGACAGTCTAGACTTCTCCCATATGCACCGTGCCTACCCTAGATCTTCATTTTTAGAATGCAGTAGCTAATGTGGTTTCCACTTTAATTGTACTTCAGGGCTTAAATTCATGGAGATATTTTTAAAGCCTTAGAATCCAAAAAGACACCCAAATGACTAAGTTCTATAGAACAGCTTCTAAAATAAGGACAAGTACTACTGTTTTTTGACACTAATACTACAAAACCCAGCATTTCAAAATTTGGGGTGACCGATTTAGACAATGTGAAACAAAGAGAATAGAAATCTTCTAAGTTTTCTAGAAATTTGTTTCAGGTTACCACGACCCTATTGCCAAATTGCTAGCGTGAAGTATGGTTTACAAAAATAAGGTTTTTTAATGGGAGAAAAATATATGAAGACAGGTAGGGCAGAATACAGTAAGAATGAATGAGCACTCAGGACACATGTTTAGGCAAAGATTTGAATGAAGTAGGTAGCAGACAGTTTGTACGGACCAGTGACCTGCACCTCTAATTATCAAAATATTAAATCAAATCTAAGCACTAAAGATTGTACTGAAGATGCACTTTGGCACTTTGTAAACAAAATTGAGGCATCCTCACAGATTGGCAAAAAAAGCGGAAACATGGAAACTCCTACGAGGATTGCTTCAATGTAAAGCTTTGATTTATTCTACCTCCTCACCATAAAAATATATCTGAAGCAGAAGTTGCTGCAGTCAAATAAAACCCAAAAAAATAAAGGCAAGGAAAAAATCCTTCTCTTGATAGAATGCAATACAATGCTGTGAATCAAATTATCACAGTGAGTTAGGTACATATTTTAAGCCGATTTCATTATCAAGGCAGATTTCTGACAGTTCACGCACTAGCCTGTTCCCAAAACTCCCCATGCAAAGACTGACTTTTACTACTTCAAAACTGCGATTTAATTTTCAACTTACACTGAAAACATAACTAATTCCATCAGAGAAAAACAAAGTAATACTATATAACAAATAGTACAATAATACTCTGTCCTAAAAATTTCCCTAAGCAAAATGTCTAGAAGGGCATCTTACAAAGCTCTTTCCCAAGGGGAAATACATTATACGGAAAGCCACAACCAGGGATGAAGTAGGTACACTCTGTAAGTAATAAAATTCTTCTATCATCTAATCACTAAGGCTGTGGACAAATCTTAACCTTTCATTAGCTGACACCACTTGAAGGGAAAATAAGAGAAAAAATAGTAATTTGCATTCAAGGATTGAACATCACGATGATGACACTGATTCCCTAAGTTCTGTCACAATGTACAGTCTAGATCAACATCCCCTCTCTCCCGTGCAATCCCACAAACTAAGACACCAGTAAGATTAAGATGAGAATAGCTTGTTATTGTGTGATTTTTTCAGCAGTAAAATTATAAAAGCATTTCATTTGTTATCTGCACATTCATGAAGAGCACATTTTGAGGATCTTGCCAATGTGTTGGCACAGTATAAAAGAGACTATGGTATATAAATGTAACAATTCAAAAACTTACCTGCCTGATACTGCAACACAAAAGCCTGTACCAAATCTACAGGATTTCTTCACTGTAATGCTATTTAAACAGCAACGCTGTTTAACAGAAGTGGCTGTCTGTTTAATGATTTGGCAAAAAGGAGGAGAAATAGGAAAGGAAATAAATGTACTCTAACAGGTGACAGCTGTCCTCTTTGGTGACATATACAGGGCTATTTTTTTTTGCTGTATTAACAGCAAAAATCTCTGAGAAAATCCAATGAACATTAAAGCCAGAGAAAACCTATGCGGCATCCAGATAAATTCTGAATTAACCTTGTTCTTTAAATGAAAGTGTGCAGATCAGCTCCTAAGTTCCTTTTTCTTGTAAGCCTAGTTACCTGACTATAGAAAAGCAATATCTGAGACCTCAGTCTTAACTGACACCAAGCAATTAGCCTCACTGTCCCACCACTGGCTATTTTGAGGCTAATTTATTCTTCACATAGTCACAAAAATAAGTTTATCAATTAGGGGGGGGAAAAAAAAACAACTTTGACTGATTCATATAGGAAAATCCTTCAAGTTTCAGGTTCCGGAAGATGAGGAGGAAGGAAACCAATTCCCTCCGTTTTCCTAATAGTTTTATTGCCTCAGTTTTACTACTGTTTTTCCCCTCTCTTAGCCCTTAGGAACATCTCTGAAATAGCCTCCATTTGCTTAGATCAAGAATGAAATGGGACTTAACGATTGTTTAATCTGACACTGAATTAATTCATCAGTTCTGGTGGTAAGCTTCACTTTATGGCACAATTATACCCAAAGAAATAGCTTTCAAAGTTATGCGAGTGTAACTTTATCCATAAATTTTAAGTATTACTATTGCATTTTAGTAATAATGACACACATACACATGAATAGCAAAATTCCACCTTAATTCACCTGGACCAAAACAAAATTTTTTGCTGAATCACAGTACCGAGTCACAGCAGAGGATTAATTTGTAAGTTATTACACTGAAGAGTTTTTTAAAAAAATAGTTTTATTTTCATTTATTTAAATACTTTAAGCTTTAAAATGTTTATTATATCTTTCTACTCAATTATTTAAGGTTTTAATAGTAATATCAAGCAACAATTTTATATTATGGGTCCCACAGAGATTAAAATCTCCTTCTGTTCTTCATCAACATATGGATCATGTGAGCCCTACTCAAAGAGTTGAGCTATTATATATGCATAAAAGGCTTACCATGTAAAAGTAGGATAGACAGCAGCAGATTGTCCAAAAGACCGACCCAGTTTTCACAGACTTCACCTTCAAAAATAACAAAGTATTTATGAATGAGAACCAAACACTGAAAAATATTCCAAAATTTCATTCCAAAATGAAAGTTAACATATGAGTATGCTTCTGAGTTGATGTCCATAAAACTAAACCACATTCACACACAAAACGGGTTATACTTATCTCTCTAGTTAAAGCAGAGACAGGATGCAATATAACTCTCTGCTTCATGATCTGAGGTAGAAAAGTAGTTGCAACACCTCTGTGCTACTTTCTCCGAGACATCAGACCACTTTATAATTCTAAGTGCAGGCTATCCCTGGATTACTTTGGCTCACATCAGACCCAACTCTGCAATTATAGATAAAAGATCTATCCTGTATGTTTGAAAAACTCACTTAAGGTTTTCTCTCTAGATGAAAGCATCCAGACACTACTAAAGGTTTAGCAGATCTATAAACTAGCCCAGTAATACGATTTTGTCCAAAACTGATGATGGTGATTGTGGTGTGGGAAAATAGGAATGAAAAAAAATCAATGTTAAATAATGCTAGAATGTATAAAATATGTGTGATTCACACAATAATTCTTCAAGAGTTCATTCAAACACAACTGCATTATGCAGTTTAGTTACATGAGTTCTCTAAGAACAGATAACTGCTATCATGTCTCAGCTGTTACAAAGTAAAATGTACGTTGATTCTATTATTGTTAACAAACACAGAATAAACTGCATCTGTAAAGGTGTACTAAGTTTAGATTTAAAAACCCTGCATTTAAGTAACACCAGTCACTCAGTCATGAAAAACTTCAACTCCCTTCCATTACACTCCTACCAACAATATCCCAAGTTTGAAATAGTCTAAAGCTACAAAACTTGTGAGTTTGCATCTGCTTATGAGAAGTAAAACTCATGGGAAAAACTGCAATGAGCATGTACATGGATGGAGACATGAAATGAAAGGCATATGCATTCAAGGAATGCACAAGGGACAGTATCACACAGTGGCTAAGTTGAATTAACAATATAGCTATGCTACTTGTCATGCTTCCAAAACAGAATCAACAGTCCAGAAAAACTCCATCTTGCCTCAACTCCTTCATACATGTGCAATTCTACATACAGATTAAGGAGTGACAGACAAACTGCACTGGCAAGTCAGCTAAATAAAGGACATCAGACTATTTTTTTACAAGCATGCAAGCAATATCTTGCTCTGGACAGCTTTGGGTATTTAATTTGGATACTTAAGTCAAAGCCCAGACCTTCCATACGGTCCAAAGCTTCTCCAGGAAACAATTCAAGTTTATATTCAGAGGCTACTGCTTTTCATTGGCTAAATAAGGAGGCTAAAGTTTGATGCTCACATAATACTAATACCTCCAAACCGAAAAATAAAAACTACACACCTGTTTGCTTTAAATGCATAGGTCTATCATTATTATTACTACTACTACTATAGTACACACATTTCAGCTGAACAGTAGTTTTACATAGCAAACCAAAGAGCATGATTATGGAGTGGTTCAGAACATGTGATTTCTCGGTATTTGCCTGATCAAGAGCCAAGGGGAAGAGGGATGAGAGGGAGGAAAATAAGAATTCAGTGGATTCTAAGAAAAATCAGTCATTTGGTCGGAGGAGGAGCCAAAAAACCTTTCTAAAGCAAAAGACTCTGCAATTACTTACCCATAAATAGTATGTGAACTGCAGTGCAAAAATAGCTATGCCTTCATTGTCAAATGATCCTGCTACTGATCTGGATATGTAACCAGGAACTATGGCAATAAAACAGGCAGCTAAAAGCCCTGCTCCCTGGTTCCACAGTTCTCTGGTGAGCAGGAAAGTAGAAATAGCTGTAAGGCCGCTAAAAACTGGTGCTAGGAACACACATACATCTCTTATATGGACTGTCACATTAAGCATATTTAAAATCCAATGTATAAGGCCAGCTGTCACCATCAATCCTGGGTATACCTAAAAGGAGGACAAAAAAAAAAAAAAAAAAAAGGAAATTACTAGGTTACTGCAGAAAATGATCATGGTAGATTTATTTGCATATAATTTGCAATGAAACAGTCATTTCTTAAGCTGATATAAGCAGTGAGCAGGTAAAGCTAATGGAATTATTTTAATACTACTTTAATCACGTTTTGACAACACTGCTGAATACCAGGGGTTCTTTAAATTTTATCCAAATGCTAACAATTACATATAATCCATTTTCTAATTGAATAAGCAGCATGTAGATAATATCCTATCTTGCCTGACATTTACCGTACAATGAGAAGAATCTGTCTGTAAGGTATGGAAGCAGAAGCCAAAGCTTGCAAGAGAATTTCAAGCCAGCTAACAGCTTTAAAAAAACAAACAAACAAACAAACAAACAAACAAACAAACAAACAAACTCAAAAGCCCTTAGACAACGAGAAGTAACTCAACAACATTATCCTATCCATTTTCCTCCAAAATATGCCATGCCACTCTTCACTTCATGGAAAAAGAAAATATGAATCAACAGAGGTTTTTTAAAGCTGCAAAGCTGATGGGCAGTTGAGTATTATATATTTGCAAGACATCTACAGACATCTTTGGACATGAAAGACATATTTTATTAGTATAAAGTCCTATAAATTGAATTAAGATGTCCTCCAGGAAATATAGCATAGACTTACACATATCTATCGAACCCGTCATAGAATAATGCAAAATTATAAGATATTCTTAACAGGAACTCTACCTTCTCACATTTATTAACATTAGAAAAATCAATATGTACTAGAAAAGTTAATATGTACTTCACCTGCCTTAGTTTCTTTCAAAAACTAAGAAGGGCGTTGTACTCAATTAAATGAACAGACAACAGAATGTTCCCCTGCATATATCCTTGAGAGTTGGTTTTCAAGATAAAATATGTAATATATATAATATGTATGAAATAACATATACCATGTGACTTGTAAGATAATGTATGCAATTGACATTTTAATTTTATTTCCTAAGGGTTTTGGCTTTGTATAAGACATGTATGGAAAAAACAAACTAAGCTGGTGAAGGGTCTAGAGCACAAGTCTTACAAGATGCAGATGAAGGAACTGGGACTATTCAGTCTGAGGAAGAAGAGGCTCAGAGGAGACTATCAGTCTCTAAAACTACCTGAAAGTAGGTTATTGTGAGGTTGATGCTGGTCTCTACTCACAAGTAACAAGTGATAGGATTTGGCCTCAATTTTCACAAAGGGAGGTTTAGGTTGGATATTAGGAAAAATTCCTTCAACAAGAGTTACCAAGCACTGGAACAGGCTGCCCAGGAAAGTGGTTGAATCATGATCCCTGAACACGTTCAACAGTCGTGTAGATATGGTTCTGAGGGACATGGTTTAGTAAAGGACTTGGTAGAGTTAGGTTAACGGTTGGACTTGATGGCCTTAAAGGTCTTTTCCAACCTAAATGATTCATTGATACATATTACATAAAGAGTCTTCACTATCTCCAAGATCTGAAAACAAATGGTCCAATTGCTACAAAAATGGCTTTGTAAATGCATCTAAATGATATATGTTATAATTAAAAAGTTTTACTGCACTTCCACACATGAAGTAATGAGTGGCTGTGTTACCTAGTGTTAACTACAGCTGTTCTACAAATGAACGATATTTGTATTCTGAGCTGATAACACCGTTTCGTGCACCTTTCCTGTCTTGTAACTTGCATCGATACCAGTCTTATCTACTCCTGAAGCTTCATAGAGGTACCCCACTGATTTAATTTCAAAAGGTCTTTCCCAGTGAAACCCTACCATCTCCCATACACATGTAAAGTCCTCTCAACATGTACCATTGAATAAAACTAATGCCATAAGAGATTTAGTCAACTATTTGGTTGGGATTTCCCCCCTCCCCATTTCATTTACCAGAATTACAGGAGTCATAATACCCTTATTTATTACTATTTTAAGTTCATATGTAAGGAAGTAAATCTCAATTATATATTTCTTGTGTATTTCAGTATGCTGTTGAATACTAATGCATGTTAACTTATTGGTTCAGATTGTGCAGCTAGAATTTAAAAACCTCTTGCTACTCCCTCTGCAGCAATTTGACAATTAAAAGTAAATTTTATTAAGGCTCTCCTTTTATCAATGCCAAATTTGTATTGAAAGTTCAAAAAATACACTTCCAGGTCTTTAAATTATTATTATTACAATACTTACAGTTCCTCCCACTATTCTTCCCAGTGGATACCATGCTCTTTCATCAAACCAATTTAAAAATTCATAAAATCCATGGGATGCAAGATGATGTGTCGATCTATAGTTAAACCTACAAACAAACAGAGGAAAAGAAGGGGGGGGAAGATAAAAATCAACAAGCTAAGTTTCATGCATACCTTAAAGTAATTAAATTTTAGTATCTCATTTAGTATATAAGTACAATGTTCCTCTGAAGAATTTTAAAGCAAATTACTAAGCTCTCAGTTACTAACCGCTATATTTTCTTCATTTCTACAATCAGTGCACATACACAGATGAAATGTTACAGCTTGGAGGATCTTTTTGGTAAACTTTAAAAAGTTTTCTGTCACTGACAACAGGAGTGAAAAACACCTGTCATTTTCTGCATGACTTTTTAAAGCTAGTTTTCAAAGACAGTTTATCAACCAATTATTTACCACATGCAGAATAACACTTAAGCAGAACTAAGCCCATGGAAGCATCAGCACAAGCCTCCCACTCTGAGAGAGGACAGCTACCCATCACACCTGATGCTGCCCTATTCAGGTAGCACTGAGAGGTGACAAATTGTTATCATATACAGTAAAGGGAACTGGTTTATTTGTACCCACTATCAAACTAATGGCCTTGACATATTCCCTGCTTTCAATTACGAAGAGTCTACACAATGCAGAATCTAGGTACACAAAGTTTCATCTTCAAAGTTTGCACATTCTCTACTGCAGAAAACTTCATGTAGAACAAAAGCTCTCCCATGCACACCTTCAGTTCAGTGTTCCACATTGCCCATACACCATTGAGGGACAACAGCAATGGATTGCAATCTTCTGCTTTTCTGGCACAATTTTTCCAACTTCCCAAACTTCAGATAGTAAAACCTTTCAACTATTAGCTCTTCAAATTAGGTATCAGACTGCTGTGAGAACTGAAGTGCATGTTACCCCAAACTGCAAATCTTCCATGATCATTCAAAAGCCAAACTAACAAGGCTACACACACTAGTGCTGTAAAGTTTTGCAAAGAAAGTTTAGGCTTAGAAAAGCTTGGGTGAACACCACTTCTGAAACAAGCAACCTCCACAAACAAAACCCTCTTAATAGATATTCTAATTGGAATTTAGATAACACTGTGAAATTTGTTAAACAAGTATTAAAGACAATATTCATTAGTTATGTAGAAGTTCAGATAACTAAACAAAATACCATGAGAGACAACAGGTTAGATGAACAAATCGCTATGATAGACTTCCAAAGACAGTTAGCTTTCAAAATTCAAAAAGCTTGCATATTTTTCATTCTGTCTATTTTATGGAAGTATCCACTTTTATCAGTTACATGCATCACTTCTAACAAAAGCTTTAAAACTACATAAAATTCTTTCACATATCTAGGATTCCCAAAATATCACATATTTCTTTGAACTAATTAATTTCAACAGAATAAATCTAATGTCACTCAAGAGTGTAAGATACATCACGTTCCTACTCTTGTTTAATCAGTACAAGTACAATATCTGAAGTACAACCACACAGAGGTCATGAGCACCTTCAGATTTCTTCAACTGTACAGTAAAACAACAAGAAGAATTGAAATTCAAGCCCAGATGCCAACAAACTTGCGTGTTTCCACTGACTGAACTATCACAGCATCAGTCAAGTGACATCAAAAATAAGTAAATAAAAAAATAAGAGTGCAGTATTTTCAGGAACACTCTCTTCCATGTTAAATAGGCAGTTATATAGTATACACTAAGTGATAAAACTGTGGAC